ACTAGCTCCTCGATGTCCAGTGGAGTTGTAGGTTCTGCGTCTGCCACGCGGACTCGAGCCTGGCCCCTCACCGACTGTCGCACAGCCTCGAACTCCAGTGCCTGAGTCAGTGCGTCACTCAGGGTCTTTGGTCTGGCGAGCTTCACTGCCTGTTGAGTCTCAGGTTCACGTAGACCGTCTAGGAATTTATCCACCGCCAAACTCTCGTAGACATCATCAGTGACCGATGGATAGGCGTTTCTCACCAGGCGAGCAATGTCGGCTTCAAACTCCTGGAGTGACTCGCTGGGCTTCTGGATCCGGTTCCGCAGCTGTGATCGGTAGAGCTGGTCCATATGTCGATGTCCAAAGCGCATGTCCAATCTTCTTACTAATTCTGCGAAATTCTTCCGCTCCGCCATTGGCATAGCATGCAGAACAGCTAATGCATCGCCCCGTAGTGCAAGGCACAGTGCTGAAGCCTTTGTCTCCTCGGTCCACCCATGGACCATAGCCGCTGTCTCGAAGAGAAGCATGTAGTCCTCCCAGGGGGTTTTGCCATCGAAGTGAGGAACGATGTTCTGATGGGCAACGGCAGCAATGGTGGGCGCTGGCTTGGAGATCGTTTCTAGGGCGTTATCCTGCTGAAGTTCGCCAGTGCTAGCCGATGACGCAGGTGTGAAGCTCCCCGATGCAGCCATTTCCTGCCTAAGCTTAACTAACCTATTCTCTAGATTTTTTTCTATATAATTAAATTTCTCATCTATTTCATTCATCCTACTTTCTAAATCATCAACTTTGCTAGAATACTCATCTAACTTGTTTAGCATTTTTGATTCTACATTTGACATTTTTGTTTCAATATTAGCTTCAAGGTTTTCTAACGCTTTACTAGTTTCTGACATTTTTGACTCTAATGTTTTGCTATTTTCTGACATTTTTGACTCTAATGTTTTGCTATTTTCTAACATTTTTGACTCTAATGTTTTGCTGTTTTCTGACATTTTTGCCTCAATATTAGCTTCTAGGTTTTCTAATGTTTTACTATTTTCTGACATTTTTATCTCCAAGTTCTTAAGCATTTTATTCATATCAGATGTTTCAAATAAAACGTAATCTGGGTCTTCACCTGCATCAATTAAAGCTTGTTTAAGGCGTGCCTGAAGGGCTGATTTAGTTCCACTAGTATCTAGATCTCGTTCTTCTAATTCTCTCCTAAGATCAGCTACTTTTAATTCATCAAGTTTTACACCTTTGAAAGCCATTTTTATGCAAAACAATTAAAATAATTTCACAATAAATGACTTTTCTTTGTAAACAAATTTACGGCACAAATTACTAATATGTAACAAAAACCCTGAATCTTACTAATATCTAATACAACTAAAATAAAACTCAATATTTTACAATTAAAATCGCCAAAATAATCCCACTTCTGACACCAATTGTTGCGGGCTTAACGGGTTCTTTACAAATAAAACTTGGCGATTTTATAATAACTATTTATTTACACTAATTATTCTATATTTACAGATATTACAATTACCTAACTCCTAACTAACCCTATCTAACCTAGCTAAAGCCTATTCTAATTTACAATGATTCTACTTACAGCTAACCTTTTACAGGATTTATCACTACTTCTGTTACAGCACTGTCACTACACTGTCACTAGTGTCACTACACTGTATCTACACTGTTACTGCCACTAGCACTAGCACTGGTCACTAACACCGACGGGCGCTTGCCGCGACGATTCTCGGAAGGCTCAACTCAACTCAACTGCCGTGTGCCGGAAGACGGTCCCTTATATAAATTTACCGTGGAACATTCTGGAGACCCCTGGTAGCCTAGACAAAGGTGTTTACGCCGTAGAAGTGTAGAAGGTTCTAGGGCCCCTATTGAGGTAGTACGTTGACATGGGTCTATTGTCTATCAGTGGTGCGCTAGGAGAAACCCGTGTAAACAAACAACCCTTTTGAGACGGCGCCTGGCTATTGTTGCGCGGGGCTCCTGACTTGTAACAATATTTTCAATTTTTTACCCCCTGAATAAAAAAAGTTGTTTTCGAAATGATGTCTGTGTGCATGGCCGTGTCTGTGTGTGTGGATGTAGTCCGATTTTGATGAATTTTGGTATGTAGGCACTAATCTATGGTATCTCCAGGAATTTTTTAATTTTGATTTTTAATGGGGATTTTCTCACAAAAACCATTAAATAATGGAAAAATCAGATTTTCTCGAAAATGGCCCGAACGATTTTCATAACAATTTAGTATCTCCCTAAAAAAAATGGTAGGCTACAAATCATATATCCGTAAAAATTACGGTTTAAAAGTTATTTTAACTTATGTTATTTTCCCATAAAAATCCCATAAAATAAAAATAAAATCGGATTTTGGACAAAACCCCGGTTTTGATTAAAATTAATGTGTGTTATGGGGGTTGCGTTATTTCGTTCAGAATAATAAGGACCATGAGTCCTTATTACCATATTTCCTTATTATTCTGAACGAAATAACGCAACCCCCATTACTGTAACAATTACGGTTCAGATGTTATTGCAACTTTTGTGATTTTTCCTTCAAAATTATAATAGTTACTGCCACCGCTTACCCGGCCATGATCCCATGATAAAGGTTGTTGACAAGCTTAAGGTCGATTCACACACATCAGTCCAGTCACAGTTCCGTTACAGTCCAGTTGCAGTCCAGTTACAGTCCAGTCACAGTTGCATCCGCAATTTCTCAGTCAATTGTCCGTCAGTTGGTTTCAGTCAGTCTTCCGTCTCTAAAATTCACAGTAATTTATAGTCCAAATTTTAAATTTATAAACCTATATTCTATCAAATTATCATCGTCCATCTTGTTGATTGTTACAAACAGTACTCAAAATACAAACGCAACCATTTAAATAACAGTAACACTATTTTCTAACCTCAAACAGTTCCGTCAGGCGTCCGACCAATCAAAAAGTATCGTTGGAAAGAAATCTGAAATTGACTGACGGATGCCGGTAGAGCGACTGACGGGACTGCAACGGATAAGTGTAGATAGCGCAATAGAAAATCCATTAAAGAATATTTTTGTTAACTGTGACGTGCCTGAAGTGGCCTGAAGTGACTTTACTGTGACGTGCCGTAACTGATGTGTGTGAATCGACCTTTATGGGAGAAAGCATGTGTCAGATTGCTAATACCGTTTATTAATTTTTCGTTTTGTAATAATAAAGGACAAATTATTTACGTTGTTTGAGTTATTTCCATACCTAAATGCGGAGTTCAATCATACACACGATAATTTTGTCGTAGCCTTGAAACTGTTGGCTACACTGCTGCCGCAGCCGCACTGCCTGCAACTTCAACCAAAACCAAACGTTTAGTTGTTTTTGTTGTTTAGTTTTAGTTTGTTTGTGTGTCCAAGTTATTTGTATTCAATTTATTGTCAAAGTCACAATCGTTAATACGTGTCAGGTAAATTTACCTAACTTCCAGATTATTATCATACCGTTTTAACACCTCATTAAATGGAGACTATTTTGTCTTTTACGTTGTTTAAAACCAATCTCTCAGTTTACAGAATACTTAACCTCTAAATTCTAGCTAATGAATATTATGCCTAGCCAAACTCAACCTTTTATGTGCTCTTGAATATTTATAATTTTGTGGACACTTCTATTCTAGGTAACCTAGGGTTATAAGGTTTTATATCAGACAAGATTGATCATACCAGCGTATTGTTAGCTCGATTGTTTTCCCACCCGAATCCCGGTGAGATCTCGTCAAAGTGATGTGTCGTTGTAACCGATAATCCGATTCTCTGATAGTATAATCTGAGCCAAATAACTTAAACCTTCTAATATAGGCTATATTCGGCCTATATTGGTGGCTGTTGGTTTTTCTTTGACAATTTACGTGAATCTACCAATACTTAACTGTACCAATAGACAGTGCACACCACGTCACACTTACACACTATAATATAGGCATATTAACTTAAAAAGGTGATTTTAGCCTATTGGCAGATTCACACATGTTTGAATAAGTTTTACAGATTGTGAAGATTTTGGACAACCATCTTTAAGCTAAGTTATTAGAAACACGATTTGGAAAATGAAAAGGGACCTCTTGTCGTTGATTCATAATTTTCAGTACGGTACGGCCGATATAAGTAATTAAGGTCGAAAATATGAAATTCGGGTTTTCCCAAATGTTATACCTCAATTAACATAGAATAGTAGTAATGGTTCAAATATCGAATTGAAGATGTAAAAGCTCGAAATAAATCATTTTGTTAGCCTCTGCATGGGTCTGAGAAAAGGTAGGCTACCTCTTGTCGCTCAATGTTATTTTGCCATAACGACAAGAGGTCCGATTTCTAATAAGTTAAATTCACTTTATAAACAGACTATAGTCAAATAAATGAAAGTCAAATAAATGAATTGTCCTGCATTCTAGTGGAAATTTACAGAACAAAGTTCAGTTTACAAAGAACAAAAAATCTCACAATTATGCGGTCCCGACAACAGTTAGGCCTACCTTATGTTATGGAGAAATAACATTGTTCAAACAAGAAGTCCCATTTCAGAAATATGTGATTTTTACTACACATGCTTCAAGAAAACAATTATTTAAATGAAAACTACCATGAGTTAATCAAAAATTGATATTGCCTCCAAAGCGATAACTTATTAACCTTTCTTTTGATATCAAAATTGTTTCTTAAATACGAAAAAAAACTGTTTTTATGCGTACAGTGTTTGAAATTTTCAATAGTTTTTCGCAAAATGACCCCTTTTTTTCAAAACAAAATTTCAAAGTCCAGAACTTAAACACAAAAAATTCTCAGATGCATGGCACTTGCACCAAGTGATTCGGAATTTAATAAGGAATTCAAATAAGTTATATATAACTCAAAATAAAAAATTCCTGACAAGAGGTCCCTTTTTGCTCTCCACATCACATAACTTAGCCTATTGTGAATGTTGTAGGCCTAAATAGGCTAACTTGATGTTATTTTTCAGATCTGAGTAGTGCATTACCGGGATGGTTGACTACTACCGTGTGTTGGAAGTGCACAGACAAGCCTCAGTTGCTGAGATAAAAAAAGCGTAAGTAGAATTTACTCATGTTTTAGGTTATTTGTCCAAAGCATTAGGCTTATTACAACGTTCTCCGGAAGGGCCTTAACTTATTGCAATGGATACTTACGATAAGATTTCTCAAATAAAAGTATTACATTTAGATCTTATTGTTTGCTTTGGGTCTGGAATTTATCTCCCGCTACTCAGTGTCACATTGTTTGTGTGCAAACTGCGCAGTATGCAGACTAACCTCAAACTCTGTCTGGTCGGAGGCCACATAAGGCCTGTGTCCAGCTGGTGGTTCCAGAGTAGAGTTACCAGTATTGACGGCTTGTGCCTTGTACGGCCATGCAAGGACTCTCCCCCCCCGCCTCTGATGTCATTGCAATACGATTGATTGACTATCAGTCTGTTAGCACTTACCACACACAGTACAACTTTCTCTACAACTAATTGTCATTGTTATTGAAAGAATGCAGAATAGACACTGTTTTTTTGAGTAATTTTAATTTATTTTTAAGCTGATACTGCTATTGCTATTGCCTCAGTTCGAGTTTGACAAGTAGCTTAGGTCTTTTGGGTAGGCCTACTGGTAATTTGATAAGTGGTGCTCATGTTTGTGGGCGAGGAATCAGAATTAATTAAACTCATATTTGGAGATCATTTGACATTACTTTTTAAATTATGATAGGCCTAGATAAATAAATTTTAAGAAATTTGACTCACAAAACGGTAAATACAAAAGATGGTAAGTGGTAATAGATTTCAATTGGAGACTCCAATCATCAAGACCCAAAAAGTCATTAGGCTTTAAAAGGTATCAGACTTTTAGTTTGAAATAGCTGGCTTTGTAACAAAGCTACAAAAGGCATCTCCTCAGTCCATTCTTCGGCCGACCTTCATTCATATTTGTGTTTAAATAAATACACAGCATTGTGTCTCCAGTTCCAATGCCAATGATAATCATTTTAAAAATATTTTTTTGCTATTAGTTATGGCTAATAGTTGACCCTAGCTTAGGGATACAATTTTTTCTGTCTGTTTTGAGTACAATTTCATTCAAACTTTCAAAACAATACCATATTTGCACTTACTCAAAAAATGATTGAAATTGCTTCAATATTTAAAGTTTGCCACCTTATTTCACACCAAAAACAAAAGCAAGTAGGTGGGCCTACAGCTAAGCCCAATCTGCCAACCAAGGTTGACCAGGACAGTAGCGACTGGCAGCAGTTGCAAAATAGAGGCTTGAAATGAGGCAACCTAATGATTTAGTCGTTAGTGCCGCTACAAAGACAGATCAAAGTAATGGCAAATTTAATTTAAGTAGGAACGCGGTTTTGTTGTATTAATAGTTTTATAATGGTCCAATATTTTTTTTCACTTTGCATTATGAGTGTTCACTTTACAAACATTTAGGGCATACAGAAAGAAAGAAATTTTCAGAAAGGCCATAAGAAAACAAAAGTAGTCCTAACTCGTAGAGCTAACTTGAAAATGCCATTTTTAAATAAGTTACCATAATTTAGTTAGTTACTAAATTTAACTAAATACCATTTCTTCAGAAATTTTCAGGAATTTTCAGAAAGGCCATAAGAAAACAAAAGTAGTCCTAACTCGTAGAGCTAACTTGAAAATGCCATTTTTAAATAAGTTACCATAATTTAGTTAGTTACTAAATTTAACTAAATACCATTTCTTGTACTTCACTTCATAAATACCCATTTTGTTGTTTAAGCAAGAACAAAATAGGTTATTGTCTACCTATATCTTTAAATACTATTCCCTCCTAAACAATTTATCAATGGTAAAAGCTATGTTATGTATTGCATTTTTTTAGCTATTCATAAAGTACAGTACAGTAGTTTTTTTAGAACATCAAAATACGTCCTGTAATTTTTTTTCACTTTTTAAAATCTAAATTAGAAAGACGTTTCAAAACAATTAGGTGGTTAGAGCCCCAAAACAGCGAGCACATGCTACATAACAAAGTTTTATATCAATACATAAAATAGTTATCAATAAAACTTTTATCTATTGTCTATTATCAATAAAACTAGCCTACTTGTTCTTTTCCCCCAACTATGATGACACAGTTTGCTTACAAAGCTTACTACTGTGTTTTCACAAGATCATGTTTTTTATGATGCGTATAAAGTGCAGAGTATAAACAGACACAGTAGATGATAAGAGGAAGGAACTAATTTGTCTACAATAGCAGTTGTAAGTAGGGAGTAGGTTGAACCATGGCATTAGCAGGGAGGGGCACTGCCCTTCGTGTCGGCTAATCTGGGCACATCAGTACAGTCCGCATCAACACTCAGCAGTAACCGCTCACATTATTGTTCAATGCTTCCGGAGAATAGACAATTTGTTCAATCTTCAACCTCAATACGTATAATTTAATAAAAAAAAACTGACCATGTTTGATATTTTAACAATTTCATCACAAAGATATTTGAACTTCTACAGTTGAAGCTTTATAATTCTTCACAACCAGGGAAGTTTAGATATGAACACTTAGACAAGCCTTTTTAAATTCCTTTTAGCAAATTTCCCATATAGGGAATAAGCTATTACTGTAGGTCTCATAGTAAGACCTAGACCTGGGACCGATTTACTTGAGATCGTTTTGAGGTCCCTAGAGACCAAAAACACCATCCGTTCAAATTTTGTGAATATTTTGACTGTGACCATGACTTGAGAGTCAAGATGCATTAGAGATAAAAAAAAAAATAAATAAAAACGGTAGACTACTATGGTTTATTATTTTTATTACCATAATATATATGTGTGTGTGTCCGTTAACACGATAACTCAAGCAAAAATGACCAGATTTTGATGAAATTTGGTATAATGTGTAAACCTACATTTATTCGAAAGAGTTGGCGAACCAGCATGATGGGACTATGGGAATGGGGGCTTATTGGGGTTTTATGGGGTAAAAATTGGGTTTTTTCCATTATTGACCCAGAAAACATAAAATTTAGCAATTACTTTCTAAACTATTTGTAGACCTTAAAAAAACAAATAATTAATTTAGTATATTGAAGCGTTATTATGCGCCTATTGGCTACAGAGAAAATTCCACAAACTTGTAACTTTATAATTCCCATGTTATTCCTATGAAGAATAAAGTAAACTGTTGTAGTTTAATTTTTTATGTAGATATTTTGACCAAATTTGGAAAATCCATTGTACTTCATACTAAACTATTAACATTTTACAAATATAACACTTTTTACTCTCCCTGTTTTAGAAACCTAAGTAGGCCTACTCGTGAAACGAATGCTATTTAAATAGGGAATAAAAAATTTGATATTTCTAAAGAGACATTTTAGTGTAAATCCAATCAGGCAAGTATAATTTGCTTAGTCTGCAGATTTGCTGCTGCGGGGGTATTTTTATCATTCCCTTCCTGGAATAAAAAACCTAATCCATTCTTATAAATGCTAAATAGAGTCTAGATGTTAAACTTGATTAACGGCAGATAGGTTAATATAGGAGTGGTGTGTTTACTGTATTTATAAACAGGTGACAAGTGGTGTTGTGGTTGTGACACTATTGTTGCATCGTGTGCGTGTGTGTGTGGAGGGGCGGTCGTGAGGTAATGTTGAGTGGACACTCGAGCACCGTGGGCTGCGTGGGCTCACCTACGTGACTCTGTGAGGTACCCCACTCGCAGCCACTTAACGTTCTCATTCAGTTTATCTTAAAGTCGTGAAAATGCAGTTAGAGGTATTAAAATTATCTTGACTGGTTTATTGTGTCGGTAGCTCAATAATGGGATTCTTGAATTTCTGAAATTTAGGTACTGGAACTGTATTGGAGAGAGGAGGAATCAATAAAGCGTCCTCTCTCCATCTTTCACCATTCCTCTGCTTTTCTTTCCTTTCACCAAATTGAAAGTTGAAAGACGACAAAAAGTAATAAACAGTGGCGCTTCTAGGACCCTATCAAGGGGGGGCTACCAGGGAGTGTCCCACACCCCCCCCATGACAAGAGGGGGTTCAGTTCAGGGGTCGCCCCCTACTAAATTTTAGTCTGTATTAGCATTGAGTATAAACATAACGCATGTTTATACTCAATGGTATTAGCAATGCATTGTTAACCAATATAGCTTAGCAGTGGTTCTAGTATTATTTTTTTTAAATTTCTATCCTCAAAAAATGTTAAGAGAAAAGTCTCGGATAGCACCTAAATTTCTATAAATTGCTTAGGAGAGCAATAAGTATTGTAACATGAAAGTTTCAAAAAAATTCTTAAGCAAAAGTCACGAATACACATATATATCTAAATACCCCCGTCACAGCAAACCTGCCGACTAAGCAAATTTCCATTTGTCTGAATTGATTTTCAATCAAATCAATTTAAATAGCATTAGGTTTATATATATATCTTATCTTATCTTATCTTATCTTACTAATATTATAAATGTGAAAGTTTGTGTGTTTGTTTGTTTGTTTGTTTGAAGTTCAATGCATAAATTACTGGACGGTTTGGGCTGAAATTTGGCATGCTGATAGCTCACATTCCCGATAGGCATATTCTTATCTCAAAAATCCTTTCGGGCTCCACCCCAGTGGTTCTGTAGTTACCCATGTTAACCTTATGAGTATTCATATTTAAAGAAAATTAAAGAATTTAGTCAGCTGTTTCAACTAACAAAGTTGGTTCTATGATATGCAAAAGCATGAAAAAGTTATAAGGTTTCCCAACAGGATGCAGCACTATTATTTTTTCCCTTTATGTAAACAGCTAATTTGATCTAAGCAGCAATAAAAAACTGTGATACACAATGAGAATACTGTCAAAGTAGGATTGTTTACAGTTATGTTTATGTTTTTAATGTCATGAATAATTTTTGATATTTTGCAACTTTTTAATAATTTATTTTTTTCTATTGTTTAGGTGAAGTGGTTGAACATTATGGCTATTGTAGATGTGTAATTCTTTGGTAGGCCTATATACCGTAAATTTAAAGAAGCTAATTTTATCCAACTGTCCTCCTCTCATTGCAAATGCAAAGCTTGAGTATAACTGCAATAAGCATTTTAAACTTATATGCCAACCACGTACGAAGGACGGGTAGGCCTACTCTGCTAGTATATATATATACATATATATATATATAGGTTATGTACTGTAAGTTACTGTGATCATGGCATTAATGTCCGAAACATGTAAGTTATATAAAATAAAATGTTTTTAGGGTACTGTAGTATTTTGATTTACTAAATAATATATATATAGATATAAATTTGGACGAATGGTGTTTTTGCCTCTTGGGTCATCAAAATGAAAAAGTAAATCGGTACCTGTCTGGCCTATGTCTTACCGTGCCACCTACGGTTATAGCTACTTCCATATAGAAATTCGCTAAAAGAGGAGATTGGGTAATGTAAAATATTGCGGAGTGGTTGGTTAGCTTGCCAAGTGATCCGAAAGTAGCTAGTTTAATTCTTGAGGTTGAGAAAGGTTTGATGCATTTTTATGATGATTCAAAACTGGCTGGTTCTCCCTATTAGACCTTAGTGGATTGTTGGGGCCAGATTCAGGCTAAAGAATAAAGCTTATCTTTTACAACAACCAAGCTTTCATTCATTTATTCCACACTCATTCATCATTCAACATTGCGTTGAACTACGCACCATGATATGTCAGTGTTGAATGATTCAATGAAAAGTCATTTTTCAAATTCTATAGGCTAGAATGTTTTAGAGCCTTGTACATTTTGTAAGAAAACCCTGTTTTTATTTATATAAGAGGAGTGATTAGTGTGTCTTTAAAGAACACCAAGCAGCAATGAATATTTAATTGAACCATCGAAAATTTCAGTTTGTTGTCTCGTCATGTAACCTGTATTACATCAATAGAACAATATATCAGCAGCAATCGTCACTGACTCAACGGCTATGTAGTTTCAGACTTCAATTGTTGCCAATTGCGTTAGTGGTTGGCGTTAGTGATGCATTATTGACCTCTGGCTTGGCAGATTCTACTACTTGGCTTCTGCTATCACTTATGTACTCAGATGAGTTTTGGTCTATTTGGCCCAACTGTCTTCTTTGCATGACGTAAACGTTCGGACAATTCAAAAACAGATCGACTGATTATAGGCGAATGCATTTTTATAGGCGATGAAATAGTTTTGGAGGATTCTCGGTTCTAAAATATGTTTGTGTATCTGTACCATATTTTGTTCATTGTAGATGTTCAAACATTATGGTAGGTATTCCTAGGTGCCAAATACCTCTGTGCATTTTTACGCTGCAATGTTCGCACTGACTCAATACATTGGGTGCAGTAGTTTTCTAGCTGTCAAATTACACAGCAACTGTATGTTGCAGCAGGCTGCGGGACAGGCGACTGGTCCAAGAACAGTCGGGAAGTCAACTTTTGGTAGAAATCTTTGTTTGTTTGTGGAGCCATTCACTTTTTCAACAATATTCACTTTATAAAACTGTACACTCGTTAAACGCAAATGCTTTGAACTTAGTTTCATTGTCTAACAGGTGTCTGGTAATGTACAGCTTGAATACACCTTCACTCTTTGGAGTACTAAAATATATATTACTTGTTTTGACGTACCGGTAAGGAGTAATAACTTTTGATAAGAAACTCGGTTTCAGCATACACGAGTCAATAAGTCAACATGAACAGCACAAATCCTTCTCAGCTCAGGCAAACCACCAAACCCCTCTTGGCAACTAACTGGCACATATGTACGCATCCGCTCAGCGCTGAATGTCGCAATTCTAGGAAAACGCCCATGCCGAAAAAAGCAAATGATAAGAACATGGTGTGATATTTAAAACCCCGCAACTGTATTCGGCAGCTAGAATGAATGTCTCTGAAATAAGTTTTTTCCAAAAATTTGCATATAAAATCTTAAGTACTAAATTTAGTATGAGTGTGATCATTAAAATTAACTGAAACATCATCAATATTGTTGAAATTTACTCTTCTTCCTTTAGTAAAAACAAAACTGTTTACATGTGACTGGATCAGACCAAGACATAGTTTGGGTAAAAAGTCAGAGAAAAAGCCAGTGAGATGAGTGACTCAGTTGAGTTCTTAGTTGATTGGTAATCAAATATATAAATACCATTTGTACTTTTACGACCATGTACCTCACCTCTTTAGTCTTTATTCTTGTATATATATGATTCTAGAGATAAGACCATGCTGCTACCTCCATCTTACAAACACCAACTTATGAGGTGATATATACCTCATTCTATATCCCCCACTCTTTGGTAATCTTTTCAAAAATAATTTATTTTGCCACCCAGATTGTTGTCACTTAACTAACTGGGGTTGATCCAGGACCTGAAGCTACAAAATGAGGAGATGTCAAAGGTTTATATAATCTTTCAGCTCACATGTCAAGCCCAGATCATGCGTAAAATTGTTAACTTCAACATTACATTCAATAAAAATGGATATGCTCACTTAGTAATAAGAATTTTGCCGGTCCGATCTTGAAAAAAGTCAGAAGCCTTTTGATGGTTCAAAAGTGCAATGACTCTGGAAAAAGAAACAGCTGATCAAAGCTGTCATACAATCATTCAACACTCATTCTGCATCTTTAAAATACACACCATCGTGTTTGGACGTCGTATGAATTCAATCTAAAAACATATCAATATCTCAATACCAAATTTCCTTGACCATAACTAGCAGCCAGCATCACTTTGTGACTAAAATCCGTAGTTTATTTGAATTATTTTTACAATTTTCTTTGCTGTCAGTTAAGTTGAAAATTATCTATTTTTTTGCCAATAAACTTATCACCTTCAACTTATTATTTTTTTAAAGCAAACCCTGAACAGAACTTTGTAACTAGTTTCCCAATACAATATGAAATCATGCATAAAAAGTGAAACGAACTGAAGGGTGAAAACGATTATTTCTCATCATATACCTGTTATTTTCATTGTGTGCGTGATCTCTTCAAGGTATCTTAGAAAAATTACAAATACTATATCACAAAATCCTACCAAAACACAAAATCTAATGTAAGTCAATTTATTCTTTACATTTTATACAAATAACATTACAATATCTTACTTGAATTCACTAAAACATCACCAACTGTAACGATGACCCCATTATCGTATGGATGTAAACAAAATTGTATTGTGGCCATCTGTTTTGATGTAAACAATTGTTAACTAAGAAAAAGTTAAGATGATAGACAGTAAAATTCAGTATAAACCCGGAAATTTTAAAAGCCTATTGGACAAAGAGATTTACAGGATATCACCCAAACCCGCAAAAGGCACATCTAGAGAAGAGCTTTAAATAGATACCCAATAAAACTTATGCCGATGAAAAAAGAACATTCAGGGGCCAATTTGCTGAATACAAAAATCCAACAAAAAGATATTCAAAAAGTTATAGCCACCAAACTCTAGCTACAAACCTGCACCTTTATGATCTCTGAGTGTTTCCCCCCAGTTGGGTGTGCAGGATGTGCTGTATTACATTGTCCTATTGGCAGCCGTCAAGCCGAATATTTCGAGACTGCGAGAGCAGCCCGGTTATAGACGAGGGTTATATTTGATGCTGGTCTCCGGCCAGATCCGATGCGGCGGTCGGGACACTGCAGAAGGCCGTTTGATCTTCCTACGTTCTTCGAGATTATTTCCTTTTCCGAGAGGAATGAACTTTAACATGTCAAACTGATTTTTTCAAAGTTGTTTTGATTGACCCTTTTTTTTGCTGATAAAAACAATAGCGATGGATTGCAAGCTCATAACCCTCACCTGTAATATTGCGTCCACACACAAGGAGTGTTATGAAAAGAATTCCAAGCCCCAATACTGAGTACAGTAGTTTACAGACACATCTCTAACTTAGCTGGATACGGTTTATATCAACTGCTTTCAAACCGTTATCCTGTTTACTTACTTTATATACACCAATAATTCAATTGGATAAATAAGTTGTTTAGTTGGTGTGGAATTGTCTTTAATAGTTTTACGAAAAGAGTAGGCTAGTCAATATGAGGGGGACATAAAATGCAGGAAATATAGATATTTGTTAATTTAAATAATAGACTACTTGCTTGCCTCATTCAGATTGCACTTTTATCTAGATCCAATATAAACATTTCTATAGCATGGCATGGAAATGCTAGTGCAGCCATATGTGAAATGCAAGCTAATGTCAGTCCAGGCTATTTATGCTGATGTTGCCAAATGTGTAATCGCTTTGCTAAATATGTGATGACTTGTTCAAAACACACTGGTAAATTTGCAATCTTAACTACCTTTAGAGGCTTTTTGTGCAATAATAATAATAATAATAATAAATTAACTTAAAATTCAACTCCAATTTTGCCACAAATTTGAATTGTACAGTATTTTAGTTTTGTAGTGAAATTTTCTTTAATATCAACGGAACAATAAAACTTTCAGGTTTTATAACACTTAAAAGATCATCTTCAAACTTTAGATTTTTTGGACAAGTTCCTTATTTGTTTGGGGAAATTACTGTGAAAACTTGAATTTGAAAGGTCCCAAAATATATGTTATCCAGAGATAAAGTGATTGGGTTCTCAAAACACTTGCTAGTACAACATGTTTCTGTAAAGTACCTTGGTTAGAATAAGTATTACCATTCATTGACAATTTCGTAATCATTTGAGTTGCACCAGCAACATCCGTCAAAATACAGAAACCAGTACAACAGAAAGTGAATGCTTTTATTGAGCTTGCACAATAACTTTTAATCCTTGCTAAGTGGTCTCAATGAAAGTGGTTTTGTTCACAGGTACAGGAAATTGGCGCTGAAATGGCACCCAGACAAGAACCCCGACAATCCAGATGAAGCTAACAAGAAATTCAAAGAGATCTCAGAAGCCTACGAAGTCCTATCAGATGGTAAGTAATTTGTTATAATATGTTTCTTTGTGGTTTTGATTGTAAAATGTTTCTTATGCTTCACATCCTTCCTAGATTTAATTTGATATAACAAACTAGCAGCTGAAATAAAGTTCCCAAAGTTCAAATCATCTTCAAAAAATGTTGAATGAGGGCATTTTCTTGTCAAAGAAATATGTGTACAGTAAATAACAAATATTCAGTTATGGCTATGAAGTCAATTTGTTTTGCCAAGTATTTGTTTAAAGTTTAATGTAACACCGTCTTAGTCACATGAGTTATAGACCAACCAACCAATCTTGACCACCCATGTGACAAGGCTGATAATCTTGATGGAAAGCCTCATTGGCTAAGTGTTGGCCAATGTTTATCATTGCACTTTACCCAGTGAGGAGAGGTGATATGTTAATGGACTGATGTGGGAATGTGGATCTATTGTCTCTTGTTTTGCAACTTTGCTAGATAATCTGCTTGATCACAAGAATGCAACAGCTGTGAAGACAAATCATCTTGAGTGAATCAGTGAAATTGGTCCAATAAGCGGGAAGTTGGAAATAAACTTGGCTGTTGAGTCTCAGCCAAACGTTAGTTCAACATGTAATGTTGGTGTAGGCCTACAACTCTTATAAAGTAGAATACAAATTAATCAAGATAAAAATCTCATGCTGAATCATGTCTATGACAATATAGGCTTAAGTTATCTATGTGTTAACACCTTGTGCAACCCTCTAGAGCCTTTGCCTACTCTTGAATAATATGTTTAGTGGTTTCGGGCTGGAGCCTAGCTTTCTGGATGTAAAGGTAGGGTATAACATTTTTTAATGCCTAACTAAATGATTTTTTTTCAAAGGATAGTAGTTTTAGTTGTTCAATTGGCAGTAACCATCACAAGTTGTTCAAGTAGCATAAGGTATGATAAAATCAAACTTTCTTTATTTGTGATGTACATTTTTTTACACTGAATGATGTCACATGTTTTGTCTATACTAAAATAACATGTATTATTTTAGATTATTATTCACTTTAGTTTTTAAAAATATTACACAACAGGTGTAACTATTAGAAATAGTGACAAAACTTTGTTACCTTGGTAAGTTAGGTACCGGTAGTCAATTTCAACAATGTGATAAGTTAATACTTCATTCCATATTGGTTGCATCGATTGTGAGTCTAATTTAAAAGTAATGTTTGTAGTGTTGACCCAGTGTAATATTTTGTTTTCCATAACTGCAAAATCTCGCAGCCAAAGAGTCTTCTAATGTCCAGACAAAGGCTATGATGTATTTGGTCAGTGTTGTTTAGAACAAAGCTCATTGACTGATCTACAACAGCTGAGTGTGATTCAACACCGAGTGAGACTGACCTTGTTGCAGCGCTAGAGCTAGATAATGATAATGTCATGATGCAACCGTGGATTACTTTCCCTCTCCTCTGCTCTCCTCTTCTCTTCTCCATCCCCACATCTGCAGATATTTAGACCTAATAGACCAAAATACATTGACTAATACATCAATACATTTGACTAATAGGCAAAGGCAATTGACTAATTGGTTTAAACCAAGACATATGACTTAAAGATAAACAAGTTTGAGTAATAGATCTCACATTTGACTAGTAGGTCCAAACCAAGATATTTGACTTAGATAACAAGAGGTTTAACTAATAGACAAAGACGTTAAGTTGAATAGAACTTAAGATATGATTAATAGACCATGATATTTTACTAATCCAACAAGATATTAGACCCACTAGCCAAATGCAAGTATCGCTAAGTAAAAACATTGACTATTATAGTCAAAGGTAAAAGGTATCCTTATTAGCAGGATGTGATTTCCGATCTGTTAAACATGTGTCAATAAAAGAACTTTTACAATTTGTTAAGTTTTTATAACTGATAAATAATGGCTAAACATACTTTGTCAGACAATTCTTGACATGTAGTTATGAGTGCTGCGTTTTGTACATAGTTTGGTTGCTATTTATAAAAAAATATTAAAAGTTATACACTCTAATATTAGTTTTACTTAATTGTGTACACAAAGATATTTTTATAGGCCATGCCCCAAAATCTGGGTAAGCTAAATCCACAGAAACCCTCTTTTGGCTGCCAATGCCTGAATAATGTAATAAAACATCTTGAGTTCTGCAACTTCAGTTTTTGTTGAATTGCATTATATTTTTATCAATAATTATTTTAATTTATAATTTTTACTCAGTATTTAATCATCCCTTTGTCTTAAATATGAAAATAAGTCAGAAACAACATAAACAATCTTCTTGATCCGCCTCAGTCTAGCCTTGATGGTGTTTGTCTATTGCCAATCTTTCCATCAAGGCCTAGTAATTGTTAGTTGATTGCGCTGTAGACTGTAGAGGTACCAATCGAGCAATTCACTTTTATATTTTGTTTTTGCTTGTTGTGTTAATAAGGCCAAGTATTGATCTGAATTGTAGGTTATTCTTTCACTCATTGTTAAAAAATGTGATTTTTATTTTTTATTAAAAACTTAGAATTTAACTATTTACTGTACATAGTAGGCCTAAATCCCTAATCTTGATCCCTTTTGAACAAATTTGGTGGATCATAATTAATCTATTAAGTTAAGAGGAATGTGCCTCTGAAAAAAAGAAAAAAAAAACAGTAGTATTGAAGTATTGATAAGTAGCATGTTGTTTAGTTATGTGCAAATCATTAATGTGCATTTGAGTGCAAAGATAAAGCATAGCAAGGACAAAGGGTCAGCCAAAAACGTCAGCCAAAAAAATATTTAAAATACTGTACAATTATTTAATGGATAACTAATGTTTGTAATTAATTGTAAAACTCACAATACACTATTGAAACCTTTTCTGTAAAAGGTGTTCCATTATGTTACCTAAATTATGTTAATATTACCTAAATGGTCCAGGAATACCTACCACCGCCTTTCTTCATAGGCTACTAAAATTATCTAATTTAATTAGGATTTTCATTTGTTTGGAAGGTTAGGTTTCTTTAACTAGTGCAGCTTAATAAGGGTTATTTTTGGTTATTTTTATGTCATAAACCTAACAAATCGTTCTTATTTTTGTTAGATATAATATGTGAAAGGAGTATTTTGTTCTCAAATCCGCAAAACAAAACACAGTTAACCGATGCAGTCTATTCAGAGTTAACTATGTAAATAAGGTAACAAGATAGCAATAGAGCAGTGAGCGCTATCTAATGGGACAGAGTAGCAATGGATGGGTTCTTTGACCTCACACAGAGACCAGCTGCATGTGACACCATCACAACACAGATGTTGCTACTTTACACTCCTTCTCTGTGTGTATCCTGCATCTTGTGTGTTTCAACAAACAGTCCAAACCCTGGTCTTGTCTATCTTAAATTGAACGCTACATAGCAAAAACTTTACCTTGCGCTTGATTTCATTATGGACATGTCTCTGATCATCAGAATTAACAAATAAAGGCTTGAATTATCTGCGTTACCTGTGATGCAAATTTAACAGTTTCTGGTAGATCAAAAAAATGACATTGAATTTATAGGTAACAGCCTTGAATCTATATATTATGGATATTTATCTTGCAAAAACATCCAATTACATAAATTTTCATTTGCCCAAAAAAGCCTTTAAACCCTCAATTGAAAATTGATAACAATTAGGATAATTCACTCAAGTCACTCAAACTAAATTCTTAGGAGTTATAATTAATCAAAATTTATCTTGGTTGTACCACATTGATAAACTAAAAAGTAAGATTTGTTCAGATCTATTTATGCTGCACAACTTGTCTAAACTCTGCTCCTTGGATGATTTACTAAAGGTTTAATATGCTCACATAAACTCACATTGCATTCGGTATTGAATTATATGGTGCAACAACCATTCAAAATTTAGATAGTATATTAATTTTACAAAAGGGAGCCATACACATAATGATAAACTTAGGAATCAACCAACCGGAAAAACAGTATTTTGCTAAATTAAATATCTTTACAGTGTATGGATTATAAATTTATAAAACTACTATAATTAATCTAAAAAGTGAAATGAATAAAAATACACATTTCTGAAATTGGAAATCATACATAGGCTATTAGGAATCAACCAATCGGAAAAACAGTATTTTGCTAAATTAAATATCTTTACAGTGTATGGATTATAAATTTATAAAACTACTATAATTAATCTAAAAAGTGAAATGAATAAAAATACAATTTTCTGAAATTGGAAATCATACATAGGCTAATTATAATACTCGGCATCGGAACTACCCAGCCATCCAGTGACATAATTTAGAGTTTTATAATAAAAAAACCTACAGCTGCAGGTAGGCCTACTATGGTTTTTTATTCTCTGCCTAAAGAAAATATATCGTAGAAATAAATAATATTAAGACATTTGAAAAGAAATTGAAAATATTTATAATAAAGAAATGTTCCCGCTTATTTAGTGTGTTATTTGATAACTTTTTCTATAATTAATTTTATTTATTGCCGCTTTTCCGTATTTATATTTATATAGGTAATGTAAATGTAAATCTGGAATAAAGTGTATGTTAATCTGTTACTATTGGAGACATCTGTTGTAGTATAATTGAAAGTACGACAAATTGCTCTGTAATGTAACACAGGAAACTTAACCCTTTTTTGAGACCACAATTATTGTACATCATCAACACAGTAGGGACCACGAGAGTCAGCAGTTGGCGGCAGCCAATCACAAGACAATGCTAGTGCGACGTTGCAACATTGCCTGTTCAATAAATTTCAACACTAATTAATAAAATATACTAAACAATTTTCAAATCAGCTTGTATTATTAGATTTGGTAACACCGCGAGGTCCTCGTTGGTTCCTTCGAAGTTACGTGGTAAATAGGCTCCACCCTCAACTGCAGACTCTCATGGACCGTACTGTAGTTAGATGTTTCACCAGAGTTACTCGGGAAATAGCAAATAGCAGAAGGTAGATTTCAGGGCAATATTTTGGATGTTTTTAAAAGGTTCTCTGGTCCTGGTGTAAAGAAATTCATACCAAAATTGAACATATTTCTTAAGCACTATTTAGAAATAATAATAAGAAAAAGGGATGACATTTTATGTAGTGTTATTAATTTTCTGAAATTAATTTAATTAGCAACATTTGTTTGTTTCTCAAGTATTGAGTGACTTTAAAACAGATAGTTGTGAATATTTTAGTTTGTTTTATAAGGTAAATAATTAACAAAACTGTTTAAAATGTAGAGGGTCTAGAAAGCAAGTAGATCACTGCATGAGACGTATAGTGTTTTGGTGTTGCCTTCCCGACTAACATGTTGTGAGCACATCAATGTCAGCTAACAGTCAATGTCTGTAGATAGATAGTTTAACGCTGCACACTTTCAACAGATGCCAAGAGGAAGGTTTACGACCAACGAAGTGCGACGCCCAAAGTGTCTACAGCCCGTCCCAACGGCAAGACATCTTTCAGGAACTATTTCCAATTTGAGACACCCTTCGCTCGTTTCTTTGGTACTCGTTTTCCTACAGTTTTCCGTAACGAGTGCTTTGCTTGGTGGAAACTAATCTGTTTGCAGTTTGCTAACTACTCGTTGACTTTGGGTTACTGTCGAATGTCATCCTTTTCTGTTGTAAATGTTTATAAATGTATGTTTTAAAAAAGATTTAAAAGGTGATGTAAATCGTTGTTTTCTACATTCAAAACTTTTTAGAGAGTGTCATAATTTGATAAAATGTTTCATAATATGAGGTATTTTTGGTATTTATTCACCATGTTTCATTAATTTTAACATGAGAATATTGAGTACTCAATGTAAAAAAATATTAATTGTAACTTTTATATTCTTTGAAATTGAGGATAGTGTAAGCAAATCTGAATGATAAAAAGGTCTCTAAAAAGGGGTTTCTTCATTATTTATTAATTACTCAATTTTTCATCTTACTCTTACCAAAGTCAATGTTGCTTATTGCACCACAGGTATTAGAATTGATTCTCACTAACAAACATTAATTATCCCTGTAGTGTTGTATTGGCCGCAGGTAAAGTATGCCCCGCCTACATTGGCGCCTTAACTTGTCTGGTACTCGCTATTTCTGTAGTCAAAACTAACTCGTGGGTGCTTTTCTGCCAAACTAAACCTGTCATTGTGCTGTCTTTTTCCCATGTGTTCAAAACATTCTATGGCTTGTCGAAATTGACAAACTGTGCCTGTTGGTTGTTATTGTTGTTTCCATGTTATCATCAGGTAGGCCAATTCCAGCCATCAAATAATTATCTTAGCGAATTTTTTAGCTGGACATGTTAGGAAAATAGTACTACATCAAATAAGAAGACACAACAACTTTTCTTTTTTCTGTTGTGCTCTATTCCGTTGGTTGATCCTAAAACATTTTAACACACTCAGCCTTCAGACACAATAAGCAGTTTGAGTGCGGAATAGTAGGATCGTCTTGTCTTGTTCAATTTTGTCAACTTCTTCATGTAGACTCATTTGAACTGTGCTGTATTAAACATAACATTTAAACATGTCTGGTTGTGTTGTGTTTGGCAGACATTTGCGGTCACAGTTAATGTAAATTCAATTATGATTCAAAGTTTTGTAGGTACAGTTAACTCCCTTTCATGAACCTTGTTATTACGCTTCCTAAATGAAGCTATTATAAGTTAAATTAATGTATACTTTTCAAAATCTCACAATAATTGTGTAAAACACTTAGGGAGTTTATTCTACGCTTAAGATCATATTTATTTCAATAAAAAAAATTAGTGAGTGTTAAGTATTTTACATTTTGTTGACTACATCTAATCTATATGTCAAATAGACTGTAAAAAAACCAACCAAACCAATTTTAAATGTTCAAACGGTCAGCTTAGTTTAGTTGAAAATAGAGTTTTCTACATTGGATGCAGTTGGTTGTCTTTAAACCCGGATACAAAAATGATCTGGCAGAAGTGTCTGCCTGCGTTAATCTTGTATTTTTAGTCAGTTGGCAACAGTCTCGGCGGCCGGCCCTCCAGCCTGAGCAGTTTGTTTACATTGCTGTGTTGCTTGATAATTACGCTGATGATTTATTTGTGATCTGTTTACTCTTCTACTTGTCACCTGACTTATTTGTCGTTAATCTTGATGTCCACATGGGATTTCTTATTTCTTCTTTTCCTGGTGGAATTTTTTAGTCTCCCAGAACTAGGAATAGTTTTTATATTGTAATTTTAACTATTTTAGTTTTGCTAATTGAGGCAATGTTTATGTTTTTAGTATTTTTAGTATGATAATTGTGGCCAAATGAAGCTTGTTGCACATGTCATTAATTACACATATTGTGATAGATTTTATAATTTTGGATTGTAAACATTTTACATTTACTAAGCAATCCCAATGTTAAAAAAATATATATTGATTGATATCGTAAAATATACTGAGTGTGAGTGCAAACACATTGTATTTCCTAATAATTTCCACATAATGTTTCTATTTTGTTTCGTTGAACATACATGTGATATGTATTACGGAAATTCCCAAGCACATTATTCACGGTTTAAATCACTCTCAAATATAAAAGTAAAAGTATTTGAATTTCAAACCCAACAAAGTAATTAATTTTTTACAAGTACAGGGTGGATCGCGGTAATTTGCTTATTTGGGAGTGGAATAAAAAAATTATGAACATGTAGAAACTTAATTTTATATTTCACTTACATTGAACAGTAATGGAATTTACAAATTATTTTGTTTTAAATATTATATCTGGCAAATGTTGACCTTCCCGATCCACACACTGCTGCATACGTTTTCTGAAGTTCTCATGCACTTTTTCAAGCATGTCGACTGGTATTCTGGCAATCTCAGCAGCAATATTGTTCCTTAGGTCTTCCAGGGTTTTGGTACGGTTGCAATACACCTTGGACTTCAGGTAACCCCAAAGGAAAAAATCGCATGGAGCTAAGTCTGGTGAGCGTGCCGGCCAGTTCAGATCACCATTGCGAGAGATGAGCCGTTCAGGAAACATTTGCCTCAAAAGATCAATGGTAACTCTCGCTGTATGTGCAGTGGCACCATCTTTTTGAAACCATGTATCCTCTAATTGCATTGCCTCAAGTGCTGGATGGAAAAAATCCTGCAGCATAGTTAGGTAACGTTCGGCATTCACAGTTGCTGGAAAAAAGTAAGGGCCAATGATGCCTACTCGTGATAAGGCGCACCACACAGTGACGCGGTCCGAATGCAGAGGTCTCTGATGAACTTCTCTGGGGTTTGTGTCACTACAGTACCGCATGTTTTGCTTGTTTACACACCCACTGAGATGAAAATGTGCCTCATCAGAAAAGAACACAATTGCGTCACGAGGTATGGTTGCAAGCATGTCTTCACAAGATGTTCGTCGTGTCAAATAATCCCGTGCTGACAATTGTTGGACTACACACATTTTATATGGGTGGAAATGCAGTTCACTATGGAGAATCCGGTGGAGAGAACGCCTTGAAATGCCAAGAGCAAGTGCTTGCTTCCGAGCAGAGCGTTTCGGAGATTGCAATACTGCTGCTCTAACTCGTTCGATATTTTGTGGTGTTGTAACACTCCTCGCAGGTCCTCTTCGTACAGATGACACATTCCCTGCTGTCCTGAATGCATTCACCCAATTCACAACTGATTGCCGTCCAGGAACACGTCTGCGTGGGGAAACAGCGAAACGCAAACGGAAAGCACGTTGCACTGCAATTATCGAGTAGTTATTTGAAAAATATGCTTCAACACAAAATGAACGCTCCTCACGTGTCCACTCCATGATGGCAACTCAAAATGAGCTGAAGACAAACTTCCGGTCAGTCACAACAATCATCGCCCACTTCCGCCTCTTTTTGACTAACAGTGCTGCCAACCACCTGCAACTCAAAATAGCAATTTCCCGCGCTCCACCCTGTACAATCTTATAGTTATAAAAATACATAAACAGTAATGCCTAGGTTAAGTTTATGAAGTAGTATTTTTTTAAATATTGAGTATAATTATCTTCTGTCCCCTATCTGTTTATCCCCTCTATTTCATTTCTTCATTTTGGAATAGTCCTAGTAGTTTGGTTTTGGGAATATAATGGTACTGGTCTGGCAACCACCTTTCGCTAAACCTGTTCTTAGATATTTATCAATGGTAAGGCTGAGTCGTCAAATGGAGTTCTGAGTTCTTCAGAACTGGAGACAAACACTAACCACTCAGCTCTCCGATTCTAATTTAGAGTTCTACAAACATTCAAAGGGTCGCCTCTGTGGTGCGTGTGCCTCTGTGGCAAAGTGGAGTCTTTTCCTAGCCTGTGAGGTGGCTAAGTATAGCCGGATGACTCACCTGCTTGTATTCCTAGAGAATGGGGGTTTGGCCCTCGTGCCAGTCATTGTCTTGTGTTTATTGGACCTCCTTCAACTTTTTATCAAACATTAAGTTTGTTTGTTTCCAGCGGGGCGTGACAATCAGACTTGTAATCAGATTCATGTAATCTCAACATGTAATCGTTGTAGATTGCAAAATGCTTACATTGTGTCAACATGAGGTACTATTGTGTAAGAAAGATTGGTTTGAGAATTAGTGTTAAAAAAAAACTACTGTTAATGGTATCAGTTTATTATTGCGGTAACACTTTTTATTAACTGATTTGAAAACTAATAATTTAATGCTTGGTCACCTACCAAAACAATAATAGGATTTTGAGTTTTCATCTTTTACAAAACTTGTGGGCGTTACTTGCTTAGTGGCTTCTCTTTAACCAGACAATTTTTATTTACACATCGGTTATTTTATTATGAAATTGGGACATGAGATTAGTTAAATAGTCCAGGAAAATGTAATATATTTAATATTTTTATATTATTTGGTCTTAGTAATTGGTTCTTAGTGGTCGTCCTATATTTTGAGTACATTTGAGCTCAGTGTGAAAGTTTTCTGCCAGAATTAGAATGAAGTTTTTTGTCATTGGTATTAAGCTATGTTTTATTTATATATAAAGTTTATTGTTGATCAATAAACAGGTAATTTCAAATTCAAGTTTACTTAGTCATATCAGGCAGGATTACTTAGCTATATTCCCAAGTAAGTCTGAGTACATGTAAGGGATTGAGAGTGCTATTTGAGAGTATTTTTGAGAATATTAAGTACCATCATTGAGATTGGTTTAAATGATTAAACGGTTTAATTAAGACTAGTGTACATGTTGCTCGAATTCGAGCAATTGCAAAGTATTACAGGAGTTATTTCAAAACGAATAACAGTCATATTTACAATAAGTCTAAAAGAGTCAACTCAAAGATTACCGGTGTGTAACTCAGATTATGTTTATCTTCGTTATTGATAATCCTAAAGCATTCCGGCTGGTTTTCTCCTTCTCAAAATGCCTCGCTGTACAGGCAACACAGGTCATTGATAGAGGGGCAATTGAGAACGAAAAGTCGTTTTGGGGTGGTGTTAGGGCGCATTTGTAACCTAATAGTTGAGATTGTCCAGGGTCAGGTTCTGACTGTGATGAGTTAAGCCTATTACGTGCCACTGTTCTGTAGCTGCGGTCGTTATCACGATTACACCTCCTGTCTGTGTTTCGTTGTCATCGCGTCGGAGGCATTTAAAAGAAAAAACAACAAAAAAAAACACATTATAGCCACACAAAACAACGATAAATGCACAAATTTAATTCTAACACGTTACGTCAAAGCGACACAAAACAACGATAAATACTCAAATTTAAGTAACAATCATTCTAACACGTTACGTCAAAGCGACACAAAACAACGATAAATACACAAATTTAAGATACAACCATACTAACACGATCCGTCTTGGGGGTTATGTTTAGACAAACTCAAATAGTAAATAAATGTACTCAATGCGTTTTATTTAATTGAAAAATAAAAACAGCAATTAAATTATACAGCTGATCAAAATGTAAACAATTATGTTCTCCATAAGGATAACATGGGAACTTTCAAAGCCACTGGGGCAGAGCCCAAGGGACTTTTTCAAAAATGTAAGGCCAGTTTGCAAATCTACGCGACACGCTCTTTCCAATGAGACGTCAATGGATAAAATCGGTTAAGAAATGGTGGAGGAGTTCAACCGACAATGTTTCATGTAGCGTATTAATTATATAGATTGGTTTGAACGATTTGCATTTAAGAAATCAGCCTTCACTGTAATCTTCATGACATGACCTTGGTCCCAAATCTCCTTCTTTCCTGTTTTAAGGTACATATATTGGAAACCAAAACCCAAAAATATTTATTTCACTTATTGCCAGGAAAAAAATTGTCAGAGAATCTTTTATTGTAATGTGATAACTGATAAGGAATCAAAGTTTTAAGAGAAAAATAATGATAAATATGTTTTAGATAGAATATAGTTGTATAAAATGATACAGGATCTCTTAGTAGTTAGGACACAGAAATGATCTGACAGTCAGTGAAGCCCAAAAATAGGAATTAAAAAGTCAAAGTAAAAGTCCTTTATTAAGCCAGATTAACAATACATTGCATTGGCCAAGTCAAGAGATTACATTTATTATGATTAAAATTACTATGATTTATTATTTATTAAAAACAACAACTTCATTTATAATGTAGCAAGAACATTAAATCCTGTTACAAGTCTTAAAAGATACGTTAAACTTGTATTAAAAAGAAAGAAAGACAAGTGACCAACTGAGACTTGTGCAACTGGAACGCTCAGGAAAGCAACAGGATAGTCAGACGCAGTTGAATAATTGAGGAGTTGGTTGTCCTGAGAGTTGGATATGAAGAGTTATTACAGTTACAGTACCTCTATATTGACTGTTCACCCACAGGATCAAGACCATAATGATTAACTGCATAGACGTAACAAAATTTCTAAATGTTGTGAGTTTGGATTAGCCTATTACAATGATTATGGAAAGAAATAACACAGTGTGCATATGCATTACACATAGTAAATGTCATTTATATACTTTATATTTCAAAGAAACTGCACTGTGGCAAAAACTGACCGTAAAAATATCAAAAAACACTTTTTACAGGTGACTAATAACAGAGACCTTCAGTTGAAGAGGGAATAATATTGGAGGTTCCGCTGTGTTTTTTATTATGTTTGTATCTCATGATTCCTGGACGTTTTCAGAAAAAAAGGATTTTAAATGAGTTTACTTCAGCTGGTATGTTGAGTTAGAGAAAAAAAGGGTTGGTTATAACAAGTTTGAAAAAAAAGTGTTTACTGTATTTGTTACCTACTGTGTATACTGTATCTATAGTGACTATGGGAGGTAGTATAGCAGATATGTTGTGTTACAGAGAAGAAGAGAAGAGTGTACGACCAGTACGGTAAAGATGGGCTGAACCAGGACAGATCTCGCGGCCGCAACAGGCATCACCATGACGCTGACTTTGACTTCCACGGCTTTGGTGGTTTCCCCTTCACGTTCAGAGACCCAGAAGACGTCTTCAGAGAATTCTTTGGCGGGTCACCATTCCAGGATTTGTTTGGAGGTTAGTTGTTTTGTCTCACTGTCTACTCTCTTTGACTAAGGATAGGACAAGACATATTTCTGTAGTAAAACTGTAACCAGTTTTAGAAAGAATGTAGTTCATCTAATTGAACTACTGACATGGCACACTGATGTTAGTTATTGACTTCTGTTGAATGTGCCAACTTTTTGACCAAGCCAAACTGAAGATCAACATTTGTTAACGATACAGTCTTTAATGTAACATAAACTATCTCAATATAAAAACCGAGGGAAAATGTAATAATTTTATACAATTCTCTGTGAGTGGCTCATTCAACTAGGGGGTTTTTAATAAAAAGTTGGCTACAGCTAGTCCCTATGGATTGTGAGATCACTCCAGTACCCAAAAGTCAAGAGTTGTTTGGTTGTAAACAAGAAACAAATATGCGTAGTAGATTTTAGTTATAAACCTTTCAAAGATGGTTGACAAACACATTTATTTTATGCTGCGTGATTCCAAATAAATATGGTTAACAGTTTCTATTATCTTCAAAGAAGCTTAGCAAGATAGCAAACCAGTATGTTTGAACTATTGGAATTTGGTGTTTTGGTGTTACGGGGTTAAAAATTAGTTTTTTATCCTGAACTCTCAAAACATAGAATTTCCCAGAGCCTCTCTCCAAAACCATTTAGTAGAGAGAAAAAATCTTGGAGTGTTTTTGTACAATTAATAGTTACCGTGCGGAAAAAATGTTAATTTAAAATTTACATATTTTTATTTATTTATTTATTTTATTTTCAATGCTACAAAACAGCACATGCCAATTACTTTGTAGCATTAATCATATAACAAGAATGTTGTGTTTATGTATAAAGTTAAAAAAAAAACTCACATTCCTTGTCAGCAAACCTAGGTAGGCCTACTCACTAAACCTAATTTTATTTAAATGGGGTAAAAATCTAACTACAGTATTAGCAAAACGGGAGTGCCGATGGAGACCAGGTCAAGTCCCTTCAAACGCACGCACCCCCACAGGTCTCCATCGGCCTGTTTTGCTAACACTATAACATGTTCAAGGGAATATTTCAGTGGAAATCTGATCAGGCAAATAGACATTCGCTTAGTCAGTTGGGTTGCTGCGGCAGGAGTATTTTGTATTTATGCTAGAAGGACCACTAAAAATCTGAGTTGACTTTAGCTTAACAACAATCAATTGGTAACTTGGTTATGTTGAATCTCTTTCAGACAGTTCTATTTAATCTCTTGTATTTTAATTGTAAAGCAACAAAAGCATTATAATAACCTAATAAAAATAATTTATTCTATAGCATCATAACGTGTATTGTAGTGTGATAAACAATGCTTACAAGTCCTCGGTGACTTTCAGGTCTACCCGATGAGGGAATGCATGGTAAGATTTACTTTACGACTCAATTGTCTTGATCAGGAGACAAACAAAATTGTTAGATATATTATTTTAAAGTTGTTGACTAGTTCTAGTAGACATGCATAATCTTTTAGTTACAGCTAGCATTTAATATTACAGCTATTTATTTCTTAACTTGTTATCATTTCTACACATTTATTCATTACAAAATATCCTGTAGTGCCTAGTAAAAATTAATCTCTAGCCAAAAATCCATTATTAAAACAATCTCAATGTATTTTGTTGCACTATAAAAATTTTTAATGCTTAAACAATAAGCCATGTAGGCCTAATGTAAAGATTTTTCAAAGTAGTCCACCAGTTGTTTGTTGTAACTTATGATTACTTTTTAAATCACACAGTAGATAGCTGTCACTGTTCCGCTATAGTTGATTGGTTCCGCTCAACTGTTCCAAATAACCGTTACTTCTACTTGACACTGACCTGTGTCACTAACTGTCTGATAACACCTTGTTGTAGGATACAAGAGGGCGCTCTGTCCCAGAAAACCTGTTTGACTAAGATTATACTGTTTATTAGAGGAAAAGGCTTATTAAATGGGGTTTAGTGACTTTAGTCAATCGCAAAGTTTTATTGTTACTCTTTATTGTTATAAGTGAATTTAGAGTCTCAATGTCCAAAAAGCACAATAGCACTTCCAGACAATGATAATATACTGATTTCTGTTGTAGTTTGCCACAACGATTGCTTGCACAGCCGTAAATAACTTGATGTAGGACTTAAGGTTTTGTGTAAAATTTCTTTATGGGTTCCTTAGAAATTCCAACAGCTGGGTTATTGGGTGCAGTGTTTATTGGGCTTTAGGCCTATTGTTTCACACTATTTTCTAATTCACTGGAAAATACTGAGTTGAGTGGTTTAAGTTAGGCAGAAAAGTTAAAATATGTTTTATTTGTTCAAAATAAAGAAAAAGTTCAAATTCAAATTTTTATTATCAACATCAGGCAATAATATGAGCACAATATGAGTGTTTGATTGGTTAGCTATATTAGTATTGTTGATGCAGGATCGAGGCAGAGACACTCCCACCCTAGCAGCACACTGAGCACTAGCCTGTTTGGACCCTTTGGCCTCGGACTGGGGCTCGGCTTCGAAGACATGTTCGGCAACGCCCACGCTGGTAAGTAAAATCAATTGAAGTGAAGCTCTCTATTCCACTTGTGTTTTTTTACCCTCTCTTTATTAGCTCTGGATCCAACCACTAGACATGCGCGATTTAACCGCTTTTTACTGGGTAAAGATAGGGGTTAGTTTATCTGGCCTGCATTTTAATACTGGTTGGTTAAACTAACCTTTTCTAGTAATCTAGACATTTCAGTTCTAAGATAAAATTAATCTAGACCTAGCTTTTGTTTTGAGCCATACATGAAACTCACTCCACAGTAAATGTAAGGCAGCAAAAAGTCACACAATACCTTAATAAGCTTAAATTAATTAGGATATCATAAATAAAGTTATGCTCGCAAGCGGCCAACATGTCACACCAGTGCCAGAGAGTCACTCATGCCTTCTCCTCTGAAGGAATTGAATCTACACCCAAACGTAGCCTACACTAGGGGCCACGAGAGTTCGCAGTTGGCGGTAGCCAATAGCAAGACTGGACTAGCGCAACATTGCAACATCGCCCGTTCACTTATTTTCGACACTAATACAAATATACTAAACAATATTTTTAAATCAGCTGGTATTATTAGATTTGGCAACACCGCGCTGTCCTCATTCATTGGCTCCTTCTAAGTCATGTGGTAAATAGGCTCCTCCCTCAACTGCAGACTCTCGTGGACCTTACTGTAGTTATTATGTTCTCAATGTGGCCAGAAAGACTTCCACAGTCTTATTTCAGATATTAGATTTATTAAAGACTTGTGTACAATCTCGTGACTCTGTGTAGGATAAGAGTGACATTGGACGAATTTGTAAATTTTGAATAATAAGTTAAAATAAGAAGAAAAGTCTGTTAACAAAAACAACATACAACTCTAAAACAGTAAATTAATTACAGTACATATAAGATTTTTTGTTACACAGAAAGATAGATTTTTTCATACACTGAAGTTTGTAATATTTGTTCAATGCCAGCAGTCTGTATTATCAGAACCACTGCAACAAGTTTGATAACAGTTATCAGAGATGTATGAAAACACAGCTCTGCTTGAAGCAAAGTTTATGTGTCCAAACTGTACCCTCAGTTTTACATTGTTACTTTTTAGTTTTTTTAACCAAGCTGGTTTTTACTGCTTTTTTGTAGCTTTCAATTCTAAATCTCTTTGGTGACAATGATTAATTCCGTGATTTAGTCTTAGTGAAAAAAATAACTTCAATTAACTCAATTTCTTGTGAAGCTATGTTATTAGTTGTACATTTCTGAGGCTCACTGTAAATTATTTCGTTTGCGTCTTCTACTCTACTTTCCAGTCCTTATAAATTTCTTTCCCGCTAGTAAAATTAAAAAGATGTACATGGTATGTTACTGCAAACTCAGCTCCATTATTGTGTTAACTACTTTGACAAAAAAAAAGCAATACTTTCAAACTACGCAATTGACCAAATACCCATGATTTAATCTATTACAAAGGAGAGATTCTTCAAACATTCACAAAGATGAGCATTTACATGAAGTAAAAAGTCAGTGTGTACTTTGTTTAGTTTTTTATCAGTTCTTACATTACATAGTATAAGTTTAACTATTTCAGGTCTCCCTGATGATGGATTTTTGGGTGAGCGGAGAGATGATTAAGCACTTGCTTAGGTGTTAGATGTGCACAATTGTCTTCTGGCCCATAATTTGCACATTATCACCCACACAATTTAGCGCTTTTGTAACTTAATTTATCCTTTCCAAAGCTTGTTTGGAATTTTGATAAATTTTTTTATGTCCTCTTTAACTGGTCTCCTTGTGATCTAGAAGTTAGTTTAGAGCACAATAACTGTACTCAAACAAGTAGGACTGCTAGTTGTGGGCTTAATATTGAAAGTACAGAACTAAGCTCACATAGCACAGAAATTGCTAATTTAGACAGAAAATTATTAATTATTAATTATTATATTGTACTGAGAAAACATTGAACTTACATTGCAAACAGTCTTAAAAAAAAGTTGTCTTTGAAAGGTAGAGTATAAGTGGAAACAACAGTAAAAGCAGATGTTGACCAGAAACAAGGAAAACCAAAGTGGTGATTGGGACTGACCAAAGACAAAGTAGATTGTTACCAAGAACCAATTTTTCTCTATGAGCTGCAGACAAGCCAAATTTTCCTGGATTTTGAAGCAAGTTATTTAGCCTATACGATTTTGTGATTTTTTTAAATAAATAAATAAATAAAACTAAAGGCCTGATTTTATTGGACAAGTCAATTAGTGGTAGCAGCTCACATGAAAGAAGTAAAGCGTGTACATGTAGTACCACACGCTGACCAGTTCCTTTGACAACCGCTATAGGAGCTTCAGTCCCTGATCCCGCCCATGACGGATTGCTTTTAATTACCAAGACCATCTAGACCTAGCCTGAAGTAGAGTAATTTTTATTAATTAATGGTTGGAATTAAAAAAATATAGGCACCATGAATAGAAATTGCTAGTTTATACCAGCCATTAGCTTGTGGAAAGTGAACCATTCAAGTTTTAAAACTTTTCCTTCTTCAAGCATAAAAAATCAAACGTACACGGACAAAACACTTCAGTTGTGCGGTGAAACAAATTCCCCTTTTTCACTGTGAGTGTATCAATGGTCAAAATTTCTTCAGGCATGTGTAAGTAACATCTACTGAAATGGTAGCAGGTTTTTATAAAGTCTATGTCTGTTGCAGGCTCAGCACAGTTCACATCCTTCTCCACATCGTTTGGCTCTGGCGGGGGAAGTAATCCAGCTGTCAAGCGAACCTCCACATCAACTAGATTTATTAACGGAAAGAAAATCACTACAAAAAAGTAAGTTATTAGTTTGTAATGTAAGGGGAAATAGTTGCTCCTGCCAAGTACAAATCACTTTTTTTTAATTATATTTCTGTGGTCTAAGGCAGGGGTCACCAACCTACGGCCCGTGGGCCACTTCTGGGCTGCAAAGGCCTACAGAGAAAATGTTTTTTTTATATGATGGTTTACACCGATGATCGTCAATGTCACGGCAACACTAGTGTGCATATCTTGCGGTCTCGGCAATACCATGATTGATTATCACTCACAGATAACACTTGTAAGCGTATCTTGCGGTTTTTGCTAAATTTTTATCGTCTCCCACGATTGCAGCAATTCCGTGAGCACATCTTGCAGTCTCGGCCAAAGCGTAATGCCTCGTGCCTCGTCCTAGCTGGACGACAACAGCGACGCGACCAACAGTCGCTGCTGTCGGGGACAAAATGTGTGTCCACACTTGTGGTGAATGCCGCTTTGTCGCATCGCTGGTGTAGCGCTACCAATTGTCACTTGTGATTGCGGCCATGCCTGTAATTATATTTCCGGCCTTGGCGATATTGTGATCAACCCTTGTGATTGCGGCAACACTTGCGATCGCGGCAATACTCACATATCGTGCAGTCTTGGCAATACCGTGATCGTCACTCATGGCTGCTTTAACACTGGCAAGCATATTTTGCTGTCTCGGCGATATTGTGATCACTCGTAACTTCATTGTGGTCATCTCTTGTGGTACGGTATCAGTAATACTGTGATGGTCTCCCTTTGATTTGTGGATGATTTACTTATTACTTAGGGAACCAATGGAACACTGTCAATGAATTAAGGCTTATTGGCTATTGGTGATCATTGTAATCTTTGATCCATACATAATTTAAGCACAATTCTCATTGTCCAGGTTGGTTGAACACCCTGTTTAGATACGTGTATAGTACATTTCTCTCACTGGCCACGTTTTTTTTTTCCTACAAGAGAAACCTAAGCCCGTGATCTACTCGCTAACCTAGTGATTGAGCTATCTAAATATGTAGTACAGACCTTCCAAATTAGATGAACCATTGAGATCAATCCTAAGAGCCTTATTATGTGCTGCCACTCGAGTGCTGCTCAGTCGCTTTACCCGGCCACAGATATGGTTAGGGGAAGCGACAGGTGTGGCGAGGTCGGGCGTCTGACCGAATTTCATACAGACTTGTATGTTGTTTCTCTGTGTGAATGATAAGATGAATTATGTCATCTACTTTTACTTAAGCGTCACAAACGTAGGTAAAACAAAATTAATAGTAATTAATAGTTTTAGATTGGAGTCCATCCGTTACTATAATAAAGACACCTTCAAAAGGAGTATTTTTCACACTTTGTGATGATCTCAGAAAGGATGACAAGAAGTTTTTTTTTTTATTTGGATGTCAAAACGTTCTTTTGATGAACTTTCAGAATAAATAGACGGTGACTTATCCGTATCCCACAAGAATGTGAATAATTTTATTTCATCTAATGAGAGGCTAGCACTTACCTGTAAGTAAATATAATAGTTTTGACATAAATAATAACCTTAAACACAATGATATAATAAAAAATGATACAATTTTGACACAAAAATTGTTACTGAGGCAATGTGTGGTTGTGGTGGGGGGGGGGGGGGGGGGGGAGGGGGGGCTGTGACCCTCTGATGTAATGAACAGCATATGATTTCATGGATTGCTGGTGGCAGGACAGTCGCATGGGCTCATCACTAGTAGGGAGGGTGCGCGACTGGCCACTCCGGTCGCGCGCCACTCGAGTGGCTGCATATAATAAGGCTCTAAAGATCATGACAACAAATTTTAACCCTTCTTCTATAAAATCTGCAGTTGCATTTATCTTTCCCATCATTATTGTGTCTACCGTTGGCATGGCCTCAGTCCCTGGGTATGCAATGACTTCTTCGATTAGTCTTAATGATTCTAAAAGACTTCTATTGTGGTGACCGCTTGCTGCCACAGTACCTTCCAATAACAAATATTTTGAAACCCCATCCTGCTGTTATATCCACCTTTTCAAATTAATTAGCACTGATTAATAATCACCCAATTTAAAAATTACTTGTTGATTCCACATACTGCAAGGTACCAAACCAAGGATGATTCCAAGGAAACAGTCTAGTTATATTGGGCACTTATGTCTATGGAGGAAAATTCGTTTGAGGTAGCCTCTTTTTATGTGGAGAATAAATTACAGAAAATGCAGGGTATCATAATATCTTCTTCAACCTCTCTTAGCAGAATATTCAATGTCAATTTCATGAGTGCAAACATTATTTACAAGAATTTATCTTTTTTCAGAGTGCAAGAGAACGGCAAAGAGACAGTTCTTCAATATGAAAACGACGTCCTCACTTCAAAGACTGTGAACGGGGTGGCCCAGGCCCTGAAATACAGTTAGAACCATCCTCACCTCCAAGTCGCTGTATTTATTTGTTAAACTTCATTAACGGATATACTAAAGTCGCAGTTATGTTTCCGCTGACTTTACTATTGTAATAAATTCATGTTCTGCCCTGTTGAATGTTTTGTGTAGACTGATGAAATTATAGAAATCTACAGAAAGATACAGTTAAGATGAAATATATCAGTGTTGTTTGTAATATGTAATTCTCTCAGATTTGATCTCAACTATTAAAGTTTCTTTATTGGCTTTGTGAGTGTGTACTTAGTTAGCTTGGCACTTACTACTTTATTGCACTCTCTCATGTAACGTCAAGTACATAACATAGATAATTAATACAGGCAAATCAAAGTGTGTCGTTAAATAAATATACACATCAGAATGTAGAACTACCGTGGATGAGAAACACATTTTTAATAGTAAATATTTAACACTTAATGAGAAAGTTTGTGAATAGAAGATAGAAATAGGGCAGAATTAGGGCTGATAAACATTAATTGATTATATATTGCAATTTTAGATAAGTTTTAGTAATTATTAAGAAATCGAAAGAAGTAATACAATTGTAGCACTGAATGTTTCCTACACTGAGTTAGTTGATTTAGGTTCTCTTCACAACGTAATTTTGTATATATTTGTTTAAGCGTAAGTTTATTTTTATAATGTTTGTTTAAGGTAAGTAGGAACAGTCTGGATGTACTTTAATAAGTAACAGTAATTTTCTTGTCATTGAATTTGAATATTGTAGAGTAATAGCTCAACAAGCGTCGTGATTCAACATTGAGTACTGTCTCCTAGGTCCGCTAATACTAGCCATGTTTGTTTTATTTATTTATTGTAGACTTTTGGATAAAATATGGTTTTGTGTGAGTTTTAGTTTAGTTATGATTTATTTTGCCAAATCTCCTATAAAAACCGAAAATTTGAATATAAAGACAATTTTTAAGAAATGAACAAATTTAAAGTCAAGTTTATATTTTGCTCAATAATGTACGGTTGGATATGATTATGTTTGTGGGTTTAGCACTATTGTCCTGGTGCACATAGGCTCACCACAGTCAGGTCTCATTGTACTTATTTAATGTATATCATTGTCATAATGACTGAAACGCTTTCAATGCGGAATATTTATGTTGAACAGATATCTGTTCCTTTTCATGTAAAATAAAATAAATAATTATTACTAGAAGAATATTTGTGATGTCATACTCCTGAATCTGTCTGAGGATTTATATTTACATATTAGAAGTTTTTGACACATTTAGTGCAGTTGCAGTTGGGTTTGAGCGCAGCCTGAATAGGAAAACTGATGCACTGAGCACACATGATTGCAGGAAATTATCTAATTTTGTTCCAAACCATAGCAAAGCTACATTAATGTCAATGAGCTGTATTTCAGTGTTTGTGAACGTATTCATAGATAAAACATACTCGTTGTGTTGCCTAGCCTATGACGTAGTCCCATAAGAGCTCAAAGCACTGCACAGTCATCAGCAACGATAAACAACTCATGGATCGCTGGCTCAGTGTTGGCCGTGTGGTCTAGCTTCCCCCATTCCCGATAGGCAGAAGCCAAAGCAGACCATACACTCACCATTATACAATTATTAAAAAAATTGTATTGCTGCTCTGTTGAAATATATATATAGGGATAAAATATTGCTAACACTTGTCAAAAGCTTTTTACCATCAAAACTTAATGGCTGTTTTGTTTCTTACAGAAAATAACCCATTTGAACTGTTTAACACATTGAGTGCGGTAAAAATATCAGTGGGTGCTTCCCCAAGGCCTGAACATTTTTTTTACATAAAATTCTTACCTTTTGTTCCCAAAAGTTAGGATCCAGGTTGGAAATGGTGTTTGGCGCTGGTCCGCGGGAACAGCGGGTGAAACACACTCAATAGAGGTTAGGTTATGCTAGTAGTGCACACGCAATAACTCCCGTCTACTCCTCAAGACCGCGCCACAATGACTGATTCATTTCAGCGGGACCGGGCCAGCCTGTACTCAGGTTTCTGATTCTGATTCTGATTCAGGTTTCACGGCCGGTCCTCAGCAACTGGCCCGCACCAAACGTGTTAAAACTGCACATTCACTAAACTCAGTTTTGGACAACTTAACTGATAGTGCTAGTTTTAAATATGTTGTACATTGTAAAATAATCAGTGATTGCAAAGAAATTATAGAAAGTATAATATTTGTAATTTAAAACTTAATTTATTAAACAAAAACATTTTACATATTAAACATTTACTAGTGGAACCCCGTCGAAATCGACGGTTAATCTTGAGGTTTTATGTAAATTCAGCTAACTGCGATGGATAGAGTGAAGTCATTAGAATCTTAGTTAAATGGAGGGAGGATAAGCAATAATAAGTACCGTATGACGATTGTGTTCCCTAAAAAACGTGATGGATGAATTCGTTTAACACAATATTTCCTACCTTTTTATCGGCTTTAGGTTGCCCAAAAGGTTTTTAGGAGTCTTATAATTGTTTGTTCATGAGTTTGTTTCATACCAAACCCACTTTCACTATATGGGAGAATGAGTTCATATAATTAGTCTATCATGTTACGGAAAGAGTCAATATTTATTACTAACCACTAATTCCATCTGCTTTAGGAAAATCATTCAGATTGTATCCGGATTTATAAGTTATCATCATCTTTGGTCATAAAAATACAGACAGAATTCTATCAGCATATTAAATCAGTTTTTTTGTTTGATAAAAATATCTGATATTCCAGAAAGCAGTAACATTCTTACTTCGATCTCAGCAATTTTAATTCCTTCTCTTGCCACATCGACCCATGTATTAATCATCCTGTTCTTACTTGATAATTCATTAACTTGTGGGGTAGTTTTGCCTTGGCCATATAGATCACATAACGCTGTGCATGTATTTCGTGGATTGGAATGAACCATAATTGTAGGAAATTTTATCACAAATCTTGAACATTTGCGGAACCAAATCCATAACCTAGTCCAGCCTTGGTAACAAATTATGCAAATGCGATGAGATGTGATGACACTGTTGTGTTTCCGAATGTTTTGTATGTAGTGAGGTTTAGATGCATTGTTCGACCTAGCTACATGTGTACATCAAAGTAAAAACTGTGTACACATTTTTTTTAAATACCTGAATTGACATTAGTTCACCTACTTTACCAAAACCATAGACTCCGTAGTTAGTCTATTCCAAAACTTGAACACAGCTCTCATCCTCAACGTACTCATCTATGACACAATTTTCAACCCAAAATTTTCTAAGAGCAATAAAGTATTGATTTTTGAACAAAACATTTAAAACGTATCATAAATTCATCATTTTGGTGAAACTACAAAAAACTTGCCATGCAGTGGAGAATCCATTTAAAATCATAAATAATAATGTAAACATTTAATTTTGACAGTTTCAGTAGACCTTTGAATACAATTTTAATATTAACAGCTGGTTCATTAAAAGTAGTGTAAAATTATCCATATGGTCGAAATGTAAACAACATTGCAGAGTGAACTTTAAAGGCCTCTGGGGCAGAGCTCCAAGGAAATTTACCTCGTTTCTCTTTTGAGGGCTCACCTACAGACCAATACCTTTCTTTAGACACCCCTACCAAGTTTCTACGCCCAGCCGTTCTCTCACATTAGCTGTGACAAAAACCTCGTTTTCCTCCATAAGAATAACATGGTATGTGAATTTAAAGGCCACTGGGGCAGAGCCCCGAGGGAATTCTCTTTGTTTCTCTTTTGATGGCTCATCTACAGACCAGGACCTTTCTTTAGACAACTCTACCGAGTTTCTACGCCCAACCGTTCTCTCAAAATAGCTGTCACAAAGAAAAACAGTTTCAAATTAATATATAGATGAATAGAATTATTTAGTTAATTTTTTGCCTCAAATGTTTGACATAAGCACGACATTTTTTTCTTTCACTATGGTATGACAATTTATCATCCAAAATAGGTCTCAAAACAGCGAATGAAAATAGTATCACGTTTACATCAAACATAGATCTAGGGCAAAATCTGAACAAAATTATTCTGATCAGAAATGTTTAATGTATAATTATGTTTTCGTTTAATGATGGGTTTGAAATATTGTAATTTCTATCCCTTTTTTTTGTACCGATTATTTTGCCATGTATAATTTGGAAGTACAGTAGAACCTCTTTAATGCGAACTAATTGGGACCAGGGGTAGTTCGGACTAGTGAATAGTTCGGATTACAGAACATATTGTTGTTTTTACATAAAAATAGCTAAAACATGGCTAAAATTGATCTAAATTATTTTGGGAAAAGTGAAAAAAATGTTTTATAAATTAAAATACAGTGTTTATTTAATACAGTAGTAAACATGGTGAATAAACAGTACTGTACATTAAATACAGTATACAATAAAGAAATGCTGTACTGTGTATGGAGTACAGCAATGTGGGGTTTGGATTAGTGGACGTTCGGATTAAAGAGGTTCTACTGTAGCAATATTGCCGTTTGTCTAAAAACATCTAAACTGAAATGTAATGTGTAGTTCAAAAATGTGTTATTTTCTGCAAGAAACTAAACAGACATAAAGTTTAAAATAGTACAATGAGTTTGACTTGAGTTAGCAAATATTTCATCTCTATATCAACAGACAGGGTCGGCTAGAGGGTGGGGCAGAGGAGCCAGAGCCCCGGGGCCCTGGGTTCTGAAGGGGGCTCGGCCAGGTCAAATGTAAAATCTCTTCTGTACATGTAATCTGTTTAAGTAAAAAATTCTAGCATGGTTTTCCAGTTCACTTAGTAATTTTTCACTGGAATAAAGTTGCAACTGTGAGTACGAGAATTAATCAAACTATCATGCATTTTAGATATGTATTGTTATATGTGTAACAAAACAGCACGGAGGCGGCTGGAGGCTGGACACTATCTCAGGATCCAAGTTGTCTGGACTAAATGACATAATCTTTGAATGAAAAAAGGTAGCCTTATTCCCTGAGGCCATCTGGTTTATAACACAAAAGAACAATTTGCTGAAAAAAGCTTAAATAGTGTATTTTGAATCGAAAACACAAATTTGATAATTGTGGCTATTAAAAATAGTATTCTTTGCAATAATACAACTGTTGGGTCTACAGTGACATCCTAGCTTAGCTGTGTAAAATTAATGCTGTTAGTTTGCTGTCTGGTAATGATGGGTCAAAACCAAAAATTTCTAATCTCAAAACCTAAATTCAAAACTTTGTTACCTGGTGAAGGCTTACAAATACAGGCAATAATAAAATGCTCATTGTGCCATCAAAACTGAAAGAGATTGAATGCGTATCCAGACATAATAACATAAATATGTAACTGAGTAATTTCAAATCCAAAACAAAAAAACTTCATAAACACATAACATTAAAACAAATGATTCATAATTATGTTGGTGTCAGGAGGTACATGTATTTTAATGATCATGAATCTATATATTAATTTGAAACTGTTTTTCTTTGTGACAGCTAATTTGAGAGACCGAATTTGAGAGACCGGCTGGGCTTAGAAACTTGGTAGGGGTCTCTAAAGAAAGGTCTTAGTCTGTAGATGAGCCATCAAAAGAGAAACAAGGCAAATTCCCTTGGGGCTCTGCCCCAGAGGCCTTTAAAGTCCCCTCTTCAGATTTGTTTACATCACAACCATATGCACACATTTACACTACTTTTTAATGAAACAGCTGTTAATATTTAAATTGTGATTTACTAAATTTGTCAAAATGAAATATTTGCAATGGTTTTTGCTGATTTTAAAATAGATTTTCTTCCGAATCGTGCTTTGTTTTGCAATATAATGTTCTTTTACCAAATCAGTGGAAAATCCAAATCACAGTAACTCTTAAAATTATTTCTTATGGAGTTAACTTATATCTATTTTATG